GGTTAGGTATTCTGCGATAGGCTATGAACGGTGTATCCGGAAAAACAGACCTAAGACGTTCTGTGGTCTGTAGAATGGGCATATGCTTCTGAATTATAGCCCTTAGTGGTGGTAACCTAGGGTGATAGGTAGTGACCAGTGGCAATCTGGTATGTCCTTTGCTTTTTTTTTTTTTATAGCATTTTCAATGGGTCCTCGATGATAATTTTTATTCCGGAGATGTCCGGATAGTTCTTCTGTTCGATTCTGAAAATCTAAATCCGAAGGACAAATGCGTCTCATGCGCAATGCTTGGCTGTACGGAATGTTTTTTGTACAGTGCGGGGGGTGACAGCTGCTAGGGAGCAGGTACATATGCTTATCCTTGGGTTTACGGAAGAGATTAGTTTTAAGTGCACCATTTTCCATGGTCACGGTAATGTCCAAAAAATCTACACTGCTTGTGGATTTGTTAGCAGTGAATTTGATTGTGGGATGAGCCGAATTAATGTTCAATAGGAACGTATCCAAACTATCTTCACCATGGGTCCCGGTCATGAAGATATCATCAATGTAGCGAAACCAAACATCTGGTTTCTTGGGCTGTAGGGACAGGAATTTGGCCTCAAATTGTCCCATAAATAAGTTAGCAAAAGATGGAGCCATTTTGGTGCCCATCGCTGTGCCATGAATTTGAAGGTAATGACCGTCGCCGAAAACAAAGTTATTATTGGTCAGAATCAGTATAAGTTCACGGAGATGTGATTTAGATGGGGTTTTTCCCCGAATTTGCTTGTAATTTGAAATGCACGCATTAACACCTTCTTCATGAGGGATATTAGTATATAATGACGAAACATCAAGTGTAGCCAGAACAGTATTATTAGGTAAATTTGAAATTTGGTTAATTTTGCGGATAAAGTCCGTGGAGTCCTGAATGTACGAGGGGAGAGCAACAACATATGGTCTCAATAAATCATCCACATATTCAGAGATTTTTTCTGTAGCAGTACCGTTGTCCGAAATATTCGGTCTGCCAGGATGGCCTGCTTTGTGGATTTTGGGTAGGACATAGAAACGTCCTGGTGCCGGATCGACCTGGATGAGATGGGGTCCAATTTTGGGATCGATGGAATCTTTTTAACCATCTTTAATACAGATTTTTCCACTTCCTTAGAAATTTCCGGAGTGGGGTCCTTTGTGAGCTTCCGATAGTAAAGAGGATTGTTTAGTTGTCTTAAGGACTCCTCTTCATAGAATTTAATGTCCATTACGACAGTGGCAGAGCCTTTATCAGCTGGTTTGATGCTAATATCATCACGCTGAGGCAAATTGGCGATGGCTTGCCTCTCATTTTTTGTGAGATTGTCGCGGAAATCTGGACTAGGAGTGTGGTTTTTAACGTCCTCCTCAATGGCCTGAATGAAAGTTTCTAAAGCTGGGCAACGATTCTTAGGGGAATTCCAGGTAGTTTTAGGTTTGAATTTGGTAACATTGCCCGTGTTATCCGTGGTGTTGCCGTCGGAATCGGCGAAAAATTCACGGCATCTTAAACGTCGGAAGAAAGCTTCCAGATCCAAAGACAGTTGTTGTGGGTCAGCCTGCCTCGGTTTTGGGCAAAATTTGAGTCCTCTAAATAGAAGTTTGGTTTCTCCTTCGGAAAGCTGACAGTTAATTTGAACAACTGAATCCGTGGTGTTGCACGGATTATCACTAAAGCGCCGAATGAACCTTCTAGGTTTACGTGAAAGCCAAACATTGTGCGAAGGTTGGATCACTTGTGTTGAAGTGATATTGTCTCGACCGAATTTGTGTTGTCTCCTCAGGGAAAGTTCCTTGGAAAGCTTAAGGCAATCCTTGGCAATAATCTTGAGTTTGTTTTGAAACTCAGATATAGGAAGGTCTCTTTTTAGCCTTCTAGTCCTAAAGTGAATTTGGTTGTCGATGTCTTTGAGGAGTTTGCGGCAGTTGCCAATTAGGACCTCATTTAATCGACATGCATTTATGTTAAGGACGCCATTCCAGTGGGAATGGAAGTCACGATCTGCGAATGGAATACCAGACCTGACATGAAATTGTAGTCCTTTAGGAGCCGAATTGTTAGAACGATGTTCAAGATAAATAATAAGATGG